GGATAGTTGCATGGCCTTAGAGTGTCCCTCCACAGACTGCTTATTAGTGCAAGTGGAGAAATGGGATAACACCTTGACTGGAGGGTCAAAATCAACATCACCAACGAGGGGCAGATGGATACCGAGTGTCTCCGAATACGATGTCCTGAAAAGCACACAACATCACATATGTAATATTTTGGCTAGGAAAGCATAACCTAAATCTAACCATGAGAAAACATCAGATAAACCCAAGTGAGGAATGTTCAATTTTACAAAGTGGGAGAGGAGAACTGTACTTTTCAAAAATGTCAGTTTCAGGGGTATAGATTAGGGGCAGAGCATTTGACTGCAAAAATGTCAGTTTCGTAAAAGACAAAGAAAGGCTGTGGAAATACTCCAGATTAAAGGAGACTAATGCAACAAGACAACTAAATACAATATCTGGTCCTAGACAGAATTCAGTGGCCTGGTAGTACAGTGGTTAAAGCGCTGGGCTGCTAATCGAAAGGTCAGCAGTTCAAACCCATCAGCTGCTCTGCAGGAGAAAGATGTGGCAATCCACTTCTGTAAAGATTTATAGCATTGGAAACCCTGTGGGGCAGTTCTACTCTTTCCAATGAGTCAGAATCAACTCAATGGCAATGGGTGTGGTTTAGACAGAATTTGATTATAGGGTCAAAAATTAGAATACAGATGGTATAAAAAATACTGTTGTTGTTAGGTGCCAATCAAGTCAGTTTCTACCATGGCCTACAATGTTCTGTTCTGATTTCAAACATTCCACATTAGCTACCCCCTCCCCCTACTTCTCTAACTGCATGTCCTACCATTCCTACTACCCTCTTCCCTCCTAACCCAATGCACTCCAGCCACACTGGCCTCCTTGCTGTTGCTCAGATACACTGAGCACACTCCCACCTCAGGGCCTTTGCACTTGCTGATCCTCAGTCTAAAAGGCTCTTCACCCAGATATCCTCTTGGCTAGCTTCCTCCCTTCATTCAGAAATTTGCTTATGTGTGATCATATCAGAGACCTTCCTTGACCAACCAAACTACAGGAACAGGCTTCATCATCTCTGCCTTTACCTGAATTTATTTTTCTTTTTCCTTTTTATCATCACTTGCTGTTGTGTACGTTTTAGAACGTTTATAGTCTGCGTCCCCCACTAAAATGTAAGCTCTGTGAGATTAAGGACTCTGTTTTTGTTCACAACTGTACTCCCAGTGCCTAAATCAGTATTGCATCAGTGTTAAATCTAAAGTTGGTCATTGTCCTGTGGTTATATAAGAGAATATTCTTATTCTTAAGAAATACCCACTAAAGCATTTAGTGGTAAAGGACCATGATGTAGGCAACTTACTCTCCATTGATAAAACAAACAGGGTAAAAAGAAGTGAATCTGGGTGGAGTATTAGGGTGTCCTTTGCACTATTCTTATTCTTGTAACTGTTCTGTAGATATGAAATGACTCCAAATAAAATGTTAAAACAAAACAAACAAAAACAAAGGCAGCTTGTGAATAAGAGCTCAAGAAGTATGTTCTTAGGAAGGCAGCTATTTCATACTTGCTCAACATTAATGGCTAGTCTGTACAGGGAAGATAGAAGCAGCCAGGTACTAGGGCCCACTATCCTAACCAATCAGATTACTTATGATTTTGCCCTTTGAAATGTTTAAGCATAGTTTTGACTGGGCTTTAATTATAAGGCAATCCTAAGAACAAATAGTCGTTACTATCAGAGTATACTTGATAAGGCTCACTCAAGGATGTACTATTCAAAATCAATAGACAGAGTCTCTACCAGGCCCATAATTTATCTCCAGGGCATTTATATTACTTGTTGTCTATACTACTTATCTGTATTTTCAGGAAATGCTTATATAATGGCAAATATGAATTCTTGAAGCAAACTTTAAATGCTATTACAAAACTATAGGAAAGGAGACGAGGGAAAGATGGGGAGCAGGAAGTAAAGGGAAAATGTTAGTAAAGAATTCATGTAAAACAATCTAGAATTAGAAAAACTATACTCTCTTCCTCCACAAAGAGTAATTAATATACATTCACATGAAGATGACCCAAAAAAGAGAGCTTTCCTTCCAAAGATTAGAAGAAACTGAAACTTGGCAACATAAGATTGGCCTGGATGTTCTCTAGACACAGAAAATACAGAGAAAGTTCAAGACTAGAGGCAACTGAAGAAGCTCAGACATTCAAAGCAGATGACAGTGTACTGCAAAGCATGACCTCACACAACCAGAGTCCTCTGAGTGCTGCGCATTAAGTCAGGTCTCCAGTGTGCCATGGATTACACGTGCATAAAAGACAAACAGGATAAAGTCCCTGTTCTCAAGAATACAGTGAGGTGTAGTGGGGAAAGGGCCAGAGAGTGCCAAGCATGAGAGCAGAAGGAAAGGCGTAACTACATGTGCCAAGCGGCTGAGATAAAGCTTCCTGGGAAAGGTGAATTGTGACCTGAGCCATGAGAGATGGATAAGGGGACCATAGGCTTGGGTGTGAATGGGGCAGAGAAGGAAATGTGGAGAGTGGCTGTGGAAGGAGTTGGGGAAAGGGCATGCCAGAGGAGGAACAGTCATGGGCACTTCAGAGGGCAGAGGATATAGTGGAAACCACAATGTCCACTCCGGCCTGATGCAGGGTAGGATGATGAAGTGATACAAGAGGAGATGGCCTTGTGGAATCCTAAACATATGGGCAGCCATTGGAGGACGACAAAGGAAAGAAACATTTTCTGATTTGTATTTTAACAAGAGCACTCAGGAAACAGTATGTGGGATGGAATGGAGGAAGGTGAGATCAGATGATAAATACATAGTCCAAAAAATTTTCAGATATAAAACAACACCAAAGAAAATAATTTTTAAATCTGAGCTTCATTTAGACCAGACTATTTTGCCCTTCGATTCAGAATCAATAGGAGATTATCATTCTAGTCTACTTCAGGATTCTGATGTGTGCTCACACAGACAACTGCACTTCCCTTCATAAACATTTGAGTTTCTATTTTCTCCCCAGTTCATTCTAAGTTTATACCTTGAATGAATTCATATGGAGAAAGACAAGGATTGATGAAATTATATAACTGATAATTCATTTATTAGGGAAACATAAAAGTTTATCAAAGTAAAACATTTCAGAAGACAAATGCGAATATGTCTTTGCAGAGGCTTCTAGTCACACTAGATTAATAGGTAGAGAATCTGGAGGAAAAAATTTGGAGGGAAACAAGCTGTGGGAATGAGAGAAGAGACGGTGTTGTCTTAACAGAATTTCTATGCTCACAAGGCCCAATACTAACCTCGTGTCATTGAAACACCTGTAGTTTCTTATCATACTCCCTATAGGTCACCTACCAATGGGCCTTTACGATTCCTGCCTAGTCACAGAAGGTGTTTAAAAATTATTAAATTAATAACTTGATTACGGTAGAGTCATCAGAATGAGAAAATGGTACATCACATGGCATGTGATGCCTTATGTTCCACAAATGCTTTACCACTTTGTTACCAAAATACAACACATTCTACACAGCAGATTCTAGTGACTAGCTAATCAGTGTTAAAATAACTGGTGTCAAGGAAGTGGGGGAGGGAGACTATGGTGGTTCAGCATAACATTCATGATTCTGGAAAACCCTGTCCTCCCCAGTGTAACCTATAAATACGGGAAGTTGCAAACGAGAATAATACCAAATGAATATGATGCCTAAGGGTCCCTTGGGCCAAACCTCAGGTTGGGGCTTGGATGAAGCGGGCTCTAAGTTGACCCTGGAAGATGAGGAAACATCCACCCTCCATTCCTCTTACTACCACTTCCTCTCATTGTGGGTGACTTAGTTTCGGTATCTAGTCATAGTATACAAAAGTTTAGAAGCTAGATCCGGATAACACTTAGGCCCATAAAAGGGAGGAAATGAAACTAAGCAGCCAAGTCCCCTGTAGTTCTGTGGCCCAATAACTGCCCGAGCGCGGAGGGATTCAATAGCTGTTCTTTGCTGTCCATGATGCCTAAAGGCCTGGAGCAAGTAGCCTAGTAGTTGAGAAGAAGGGCTTTGGTGCCAGACAGACCTGGATTTGAGTCCTCATTCAATGTGGGCAAGTGTTTAACCTAAGTCCCCGTTTCCAAAACTTGAAAAAGTAGATGATCATCACACTATCTCATGGGAGCATTATGAAATGCAGTGAGATGATACATGTAAAGTGCTTATTAGCCTTGTGCCTGGCAAAAGTATCCCCTCAAATATTTGCTATTATTACAATGATTGATCATCTGGGGCTTCATGGTGTACAAAGCAACATACTAGCCTCACAGTAATGAAAGCCATAATAATGAACACCAGTTGCATGTAGATGTGGGGGCAGACAGGCGCAGGAAAAGGGTAAGAACTGCAACTTTTCCCAAGACATTTTAAAAAATGGAAATCCTGTGCACTATTATTTCTTTGTGTTGAACGACAGATGATTTGTGATAGACACCCATTACAACTCCTACATTTGTTTCCTCTCCCCTTTTGTATTGTACTTTCACAGCACCATATCTGCTAGCTACATGCTAAAATCAAACATCACCACTGCACCTATATCATCCTGGCATCTGCAGTCATCCCCACTCTAGTCAAAGTTGGCTTTATTAAGTTCTCTACTCTCTCGTGTAGTTTTTACACATTGGTTTTGGAAACAGAGTCACAGCACACGCTCATACACCTGGCAGCTAGGAGATACTGATAGTCTAATTCTCTCAAAACAAGACCATGAGAATTGATAATAATTATGCTTCAACTGTTTACACTGCATTTAGTTCTATTTTAGGTATTTCTACTTAAACATTCTAGGGGATGATTTTTAAACATCTAAGCTCAACTGTGTATTTAATGGTGTGCTAATGTCACATTCACTTAGTTAGGAATGTGATCTTTCTTTTGTTGCCAAGACAGCAACAGTTGCTGTGGAAATCACACAAAAACAGGGATACTCAACTGAAACAAACTCTACTCACCTGCACAAAGATGCCCTTGCTCTTATACTCCATATGGAGGCACTGAGAGAAGAAATCTACAAAAGCCTAGAAGAGGTGGGGGTGAGAAGAAAACACACACATTACATCAATCTGCCTAATTTGTCGCCATGGAAACAAACAAACAATAATAATAATAATAATAAACTATTTAACGGTCTAATTTCTAATCATTCTTTTTCTTTCAAATGTAGGAGGAACCCTAAAATAAAACCTCAAGTTGTTTTTACCTGTGACTAAAATACCTATTTTCTTACCAAATATAGTATTCAGATCAAATTTTGATTTAACTGGGAAAGGTTAAATTGTCTCTTTTTTTTCCTTCAGAAAATTATTTTCCAAGAAAAAAAATTTTTTTATTATATAACAAAGGATGCATTCCTTCTCTCCACTTGCCACTCAAGTAGAAACGCAATATGAATTCTGCTCAGCTCTGCTCTATGGGGATTTTGTTGTCAGTGCAGAGAAGAAAAAAGCAAGCATCCTCTTGGACCTTGGGGATGGAAAGATCCAAGAAGTGTAAAGACGAACGTGATGGCCTATCTTCTTCTGAAAATACCACCTTATATCTATTTGTAGAATTTGAAGTACCATTTTGTCAAATATGGACTCAACCTCAGGGTTGAAATGCAAAGTATCATTAATGATTCTACAAGTGTCTCAACTAGTAATAGTGTCAGTGGAGCAGAACGGATAAGAAGCTGGTGCTCAACAATCACTCAAGAAACATGGCGGTCATTTTAAACATGCCTACTGTATGTTTCAGATATACAGAAAACAATGAGATTGAGGAGGAAGGGATGGTTAGTGTCAAGTTTTTTAAAACAGTAGCTTTTTTCAATGGACAAATAGCTAAGTAAAGAGAAGGCAAGTGTTTTGCTCTTTTTCCCTCCCTGACATAATGCAAGTTCTTATTTTGTATCCTATTTTGTTCATTTTCCCTTAAAAGCTTGCTTCATTTCAATGTGTAAATGGTCAGTTTGCCTTCAGAGATGTATTCTGTGCCTCCACAA